ATCAGGGTCAATTACAAAAATAAAACACACACACACAGGAAATTTTTCCTAGAGAACAATGATCAAGGATCCCATTTAGGGCTTGACTCAGCAGAAAATTGCATACTCTACACGAATAAACAGTTGTGCAAATGGGATAGTGCTGCTACATCGTTTAAAACAAAGATCTATTTGGTTTTATTTACTTATTTATTTGTATATGACAGCGGAATGCATTACAATTCTTATTATATAGAGAAAGCACAATATTTCCTATCTCTGGTTGTATACATAGTATATTCACATAAATTCGTGCCTTCACACCTGTACTTTGGATAATAATGATCATCATATTCCACCATCATTAATAACTCCATGCCCCCTCATTTCCCCTTCAACCCCTCTGCCCTATTCCTCCCATGCTCCCTCTCCCTATCTCACTATGAATCAGCCTCCTTATATCAAAGAAAACATTTAGCATTTGGTTTTTGGGGATTAGCTAACTTCACTTAGCATTATCTTCTCTAACTCCATCCATTTACCTGCAAATGCCATGACTTTATTCTCTTTTATTGCTGAGTAATATTCCATTGTGTATATATGCTACATTTTTTAATCCATTCATCTATTGAAAGGCATCTAGGTTGGTTCCACAGTTTAGCTATTGTGAACTGTGCTGCTATAAACATTGATGTGGCTGTGTCCCTGTAGTATGCTGTTTTTAAGTCCTTTGGGTATAGACCAAGGAGAGGGATAGCTGGGTCAAATGGTGGTTCCATTCCCCAATTTTCCAAGAAATCTCCATATTTGGTTTTAATATAATATCATCACTAATTGTACCCCATTCTACCTTCTGCTGGAAAACTTTGGAAAAGTGAATTCTAAGAAATATCTTTTAAAATTAAAATAATGTTTGTGATGATGAAAATAAGGAAAGGTGAAAAAGTAAGGCAAAAAGACTCAGGGATATGATCCAAAACGAATGGAAAGAAAAACTAGAGAAATTACGTGCCTCAGCAGCCACAAAAAAAATGGATACAATCTTCTAATCAAATGGACAGGTACACACTGTACACAGATCCAATGTTAAGTGGCAGCTGTTTGGGAATCTGTAGCATTTCTACTTAGAATGTATTCCCAGGTTTTTGATTTTTTGTTTTTAAACAAGTCATACTCATGAATTCAATTTAGTGGAATGGAGTTCTACTACCCTGTCACTATGCAGAAGCCTAATATAGACCCTATAATCTAAATGGCAAAAACAAGGGACATGAAAGAGAATCATCTCATTATAAAATTAGTTACATCCCATCCTATTAGCTGTCTCCATATATCCATCTTTTCTGATAGGCTCTGAGAGCCTGTTTCTGTCGCACAAGGAACATTCTAGCTATTTTACATAATTGTCCCACACTCAATGGAATTTATAAATTCAGACATATTTCAATCACGCAGGAACTGCATGAAGGATTGAAGCAATGTGGCTTTGCTTTCTCCAATTTGCTATCTTTTGACCATTTTAGCACTCTTCTTAAGTAGAGTAGGGAAGGGGCAAACAGTTGGAAATCCATAGTGTTCCTCCTCAACAGCTTTACTGATGAGCTGGGTGGGGGAGCATATTCAAACAAGTGGACAGACTACACCAGAGGAGGCTCTGAGAAGTCTATAGAAACCATGACCACGGATAACAGACTATAGACAAAGGTGATAATGCACTTATGAATAGCGTGCATAGGGAAACAACCCTACATTCACAACTGATAGATGATTGTACTTAGAGCCATGGTCTCTATTGAAACTATGGTGGCAGAATGACAGGGCACATAGGGGAAAAGAAGGAAAGGCACAAGCAGAAGAAGGGTACCTAACAGAGCTTTCAAGACAGCTCACAGAAACACCAGTGGCCAGGAAGAACACATCACCTGGGATTTATTATCTCCTCTCCACCAGTAAGGTTAGAACAAGAAACATTCACATTGAAAACCAGAAGATAAGAAAATGTATAGCTTCTCGCTGTAGACTGCTGATATTGGAAAATGGTATCACCATACTCTTGGTGTGACTATTCTATAATTAGGCCTGACAGAAGATATTTCCAGTGAAAAGGCCAAGTTCTACCACTGGGTAAAACAATCTTACCAACTACCTACTGTTGAGCATACTTTTGGCAACTGAATCAAAAGGCAGACTGGAGAAAAGGAAAGGGCTTCCCTTCACCTTCCTAGACAGAGGCCTCTCACAGGGATAAAGGACATCACTACCTTAAAGGCTGCTTAACATCTCTAGGGAGTGCTCTTTGGTGGGAAAGGGAAGTGGGTCTTGGCTCATAAAGGGCCTTAGTAAAGAGATGCCCAAGCAGAAGAACAAGCAATGAGGAGACAAAATTTCAGGAGCTGGAAGCAAGAGAGGGAGGGATAAAAGAGAAGCCTAGTGCGAACCACAGAGCAGAACTAGTGGCTAATAAGCAGGTAGTCCTATTTTCTGACAGCTTGGAGGGAAGTCTGGTTTTGTGATGTCATTGGAAAGCTCTGATTCACCAAGCCCTCGAATGAGGTACAGAGGGATATCCACTGTCACAACACTAGCAATGTGCTAGGACTCAAAAGTCAAATTCAACATGAAAGGGCAGTCTACTCATAAAAAGTTCTATCCATAGGCACAAGGTTTCAGATACATGACCTTATCATGATTTGTTTAAAAGCATAGAAAAAGAAGTTGTTAGGAAATGTTAGGAAATGTGGCTAAACAGAGAAATCCAGTATATTAAAGAGACATGTGTTTGAATCCCAGTGTGGTTTTGGGGAAAGTCTATCTCTGTCATTCTTAGTGTTTCCATTGTTAAAATGGAGATAATACTACCTATTGTAACCTATAGGCCGTCTAGTCCACTTACCCTTATTATATTTACAAGACTGCTACAAATCCCCAGTTCCCTGGCCTGGGAGAAACCATGTTTTCCTAAGATTGTGTAAAGTTCCAGGAATTTACTCTCTCATGGTATCTCATGGTATCTTCAGACTCTGATCTCCTGTGTTCTCAGGTGTATTTTCTGCTCTGCCTGAAGTAATTCCAGAAACCATGCTGCCTCTTCACCAACAAAGTACACCAACTCAGTACAAATACTGACACTGGTTATTTGTGAGGACTTGGGGACATGCTGTGGAAGGCTGTGCCCATATATTAAACTCTCTCACTTCCTTTGGCTCCTTCTTACCTCTTCGCCTCACTCCTCTTCTCCTGAACCAGCTCCAGGTTTTCTACTTCTGAGTCAGAGGCACTTATCTTTCCTCTAAAGCTCTAGCACTGCCTGGTCACCAAGCCTGGGAACAAAGACCCATTCTCTCCCCTAAGCACCATTCAAAGTATTTTCCCAGTACAAATCATACTCTCCTTTGGAAAATTCTGACACCAGCTATTAAAGCTCTAACATTTTCTCTGCTTCCTCACTTAACTGCAGGATTGCTCCCCAGAGTAAATGAAACAAAGAATATAATATAAAGCTAGCACAATGTCTTGCACATAGTAGACACAAAATAACCAGAGTGCACTATAACTACTTAATGGTGATCACAGCCAGATTTAATCCCTGAAAAGATCATGCATAAAACAACCCGGGAGACCAACTGCTTCCAAAGGGAGGACACCAGACTTGGCAAGGTCCTTGAAATTAAAAGCTAAGAAGCTCTCAATCTTTCTTCAGAAACACAATAATCATGATAGATAACAGGTCCACTGACTTGTCTGCCACATTCTAAACAGTCACAACATGCAACGAAACAGACTATAACACAGGTTCCACACTATGACACTATGAAAGTCTATCATGATCACCTCAAATTACATAAGAGGGAAATTCTACTTTCACCAGTCCTCCTGGAAAACTGTCACTTAGATTGTAAATTTCCCTTTTCTGTTTAGATTAAGTTTTGTTTTGTTAAACTCCAAAGCTTTTCTCCTGAATGGCAACTAATGGAAGGACAAAAGGTCTTTCATCTAAAAACACCAAACATACATAGCCCAATTAAGACTGCAGATGATGATGAAGCTGGTCTTCCTGGGAAATTCTCATGGGCTTGGCCTTTGGTGTTCTTGCCAATAGTACTTGGCCTGGTAGACTGCTTTTCTTTGAGGCCCAACTAGTTATGATTGCCTTTGAGCAACAGCACAGTAGGTCCAGTCATTTTGCCAGATTACTAAACTGCAAGTAGTAAGGTGCTTTAGACCTAAGTTAGGTAGTAGTGTTAACAGGCACTAAAAGACCAGTTTTAACTCTAAAATGTCACCATGCTGGAAGAGAAGTTCTGTGCACATGTGAACATAAATACACACCCAAAAGGCAGCTCAAAAATAGGCCTGACCTTGGGCATCCAAAATGAAGGTAATATACTGTATACAAACACAAACCTGCAGGATTACCGACTGCCAGATGCAACTCTTCAAATGGCATATAAATAGGAACCTGAACCCAATCCAGTGAATAAACATTGGTCCCAGACCCTCCATCTGTCTCTGAAGGCTATACTGATATTAGCCCCAGTCTAAAAGAAATTCTAGGTTATATCTGATAAGAAAAATGTGAGGATGTGGTCAATTTGAGAAGAATCAAATCTAGGGGCAGCAGCAAGGTATTTCTAGGACTACAATAATGGGGACTAAACTCAAGACTGAAACAAGAACTGAATCTCTAAAAACAGGAAGAAAGGATCTAAGCTCACTCACAAGACCTCAAAGAACTTCAATGAAGTGGAACTAAAATTCCATGGTCTGGTCCCAAGTTTCCTTAACAAAGAGACCTATAAATTATTCTCTTTGGAGACAGAATTGTGCTGTATTTTCCTCCACATGCTCATAATACTGCCTTAGGGAGCCCCTAATAATGAACAATTGCAAAGACCTGCCAATAAAGACAAAAGCAGCATAAAACATTATAACAAAAAGCAACAGCTATTAATCTGATCTTAAATCCATTATCTTAATTATGTAGCTTCTCTTGAATACCAACCTGATGGCAAGGCACTCACCTTCCTCAAAGCTGGCATTCTTCTGTCTCACTAGAGCACGGAAGTTTTCAACAGGATTCACACTTCCAACCTGAAACAGACCCACAGACAATAAACCTACAAGTCTCTTCTCTTTTTGGCAGCATCTCAGGCAACACAAGATGGTTTCATGTAATAAATGTGTTTTGGTTTTTTTTTTTTTTTTTTTTTTTTTTTTTGAGAGAGAGAGAGAATTTTTAATATTTATTTCTTTTTAGTTTTCGGTGGGCACAACATTTTATTTTTATGTGGTGCTGAGGATCGAACCCAGCACCCTGCACATGCCAGGCAAGTGCGCTACTGCTTGAGCCACATCCCCAACCCAATAAATGTGTTCTTAAAGACAAAGAGGAGGCCTTTTCTATCCTTTTCATTCCTAGGGCATTGTTATAAGCTAGCAGATTCAAGTGGTCACACAGCTGCCCAACTCTTTTCACTCATTTTTCTTTATGCAAGCTGACTTGTTTCTAGAGGGTCATCAGAAACAAGCCCAGCTTGAGGGCTTTATGTGGTACAGGTACTGCCTGTACATACTAAAACGCAATCAATAAGAAAAGGGAGGATGCTGTAGTATAAGTTCACAGTATTTGCTCCACTACAATAATATAAGAAATATCAGCTTAATGCTTGATTCACTTAACTGCCCCTTCTGGAGGACTGTTGTTGGCCATTTAGCATTGAAGTTTTGGCAGAACACACAAATATGTCCAAGCTGAACATGTCCTCAAAAAAGTAAAAGCAGATCATGTATAAAGTCTACAATGCTAGGAGAGAAAGTTTCAAAGATGCAACTCTCTGCCAAAATTAATGACACTTTCTAACTGTATCTTTAATTTGCTGGTCCCAACCTTAATGGGCCACATGGGAGAAAGCAATGGAGTTCCTATTTGCGCTGGGAAACTTTAGTATAAAATGTACTACTATTTCCAGTTTGCTTTGGAATAGTACATAGAAAAGTTCTCAAAACAAATAAGTATAAGTATACTATAAGGTATACAAATGAAATCTAAATCACTTTTCAAACACCCGATTTTTCTGAGAGCATTTCTGGTAGACAAAAAGACAAGCCATGATGCTGAATATCCCTTTTAGTGTAATTTGCTAGTAAAGCGCAAGTTTTAAGATCCATTGAATCAAAATAATGCAACTTAAAAAAAGGTGATATTTTCAAGTTTCAAAAATCTTCTCATTAAATAAAGCTCTCAAGTGTCAAAAAATACTTGGTTTGGGAAAATCCTAAACTTCTGAATCCTGTTTTGAAGTTGGGTATTAGATAAGAAATAGGAAAGTTATACTAACTTAAAATTTTATGTACTTGGAGAGTAAGACTGATAACTTTTACCCCACTTACCCCATTTTGACTAAATGGAAAGCTGCAAAATGAAGGCAACAAGAAAAAAATCTGTATAAAATGTGCTACCACTGAGGTGTTCTACAACCTACATATTATTTGGAGCTTTGAGGTGTTCTACAACCTACATGTTATTTGGAGCTTATACAATTGTATATATTATACAATTGTATAGTTAACTCTATAGGTGATTTACTGATAATAATTACTTAAAGGAAGAAAGGAAAAAGTATGGAATAGGTCTCTACAGTACACAGAGAAAGAGTGGCATTAACTGACCAATGAAACTTGATGTCATCTGTTCAAGTCCCTACCTTCCTGAGAAGGGTAGAACACCAGCAAGGCTCTGCTTACCTTTGTGATACTGACTTCAGCCAGGCCAGAAACACTGAAGTGGGCTTCCCCTTCCTCAGTCTTACATTTTTTAGCAGTGGGACCCTCTTCATGGCTAGAAAAGAAAAGAAAAGGTTTACTTTCCCCCTTAAAACAAAATACAAAAAGCAGAAGTTTTGATATGAAAAGTGTAACTTATTTTCCAAGCATTAGAAATAGCCACAGCACGTAATTCTTCCTCATGAACAGCCCTCCTCCCACTCCCAGCCACAGGGCCCCTGGCAGCCCAACCTGGAGCAGTTCTGGCTTTGCTTCACAGTAGTACAAGATCATAATAAGCAGTTGTACCACAAAGTCCTCGGAGAAGTTAAAACTGCAAGTACAGGGGATAGAAACTTACATTTAAATAAGAAATCCATCTACCCTTCAGACATCATTTGCTAGCCTCTATCTTGGAACCAAAAGCTAATAGCATTCCATGTACACAAAAGAAGATGGGTCCCATAACCCAACTTCTCATCATGTGTATCATAACTTTATAAGCTTCTACTTACAACTACCAAAACTTACTAGACAATCTTTAAATACACAAGAGATTTGTAAAGAAGCCCTGAACTTAAAAAATAATTGCAAAAAACCCTTTTAATTTGTCCTTTTATAAACCTAATTCTGTTTTGTATGGTGTGATAACCAAGTCCAACAGCATCTGTGTACTAAGGGAAAGATGAGTCCAAGAAAGTACATACATTTTCCCTCAAGTAACATGCTGGTTTTAATAACCTGTTTTAAAATCAAGAGGAGGTCAGGTTAATTGCAAAGAAGAAAAATAAAGCCAAAGACTCTGCCCATATGCTGCGGAATGTAAAGGTATAAAGAATTTTCTCACAGAGAAATAATCAGGGTAAGGCAGCCACTGAGAAATGGTTGAGCCGGTGCAGTGGTGTATGCCTGTAATCCCAGCAGCTCAGGAGGCTAAATCAGGAGGATCACAAGTTCAAAGCTGGCCTCAGCAACTTAGCAAGGCCCTAAGCATCTTACTGAGACCCTGTTTCTAGATAATATATGAAAATGGGCTGGGGATGAGGCACAGTGGTTAAGCACCCATGAGTTTAATCCCTCTACCGAAAAAAAAAAAAAAAAGCTTGAGTGACATTAGTTACTAAGAAATTAATAACTATGATCTAGTATTTCCTTTCTTAAAACTTATTTAAACTGACAAATGATTATTATACATGTATCATGTATAACATGATGTTTTGAAATATGTATACACTGTAGAATGGCCACATCAAGCTAATTAACACACATTACCCACACAGTTATCCATGTTTTCTGTGGTAAGACCAGTAAAAATGTACTCTCAGTGATTTTTCAGGACTAGTATCTAAATGTATTGCTTTCTTTTCTCTTTCTTTCTTTCTTTTTTTGGTGTGGTTCAAGGCCTCAACCTTCAGACAATAATCTTTACAGAGGTGGCTATCTTAAAAATGAAGCAAAAAAAAAAAAAAAGTAATGGTAAAATCTGGCTTCCACGACAGTATTTCAGTAACAAATCTCCTTTTACATGTTGGCAACAACAACAACAACGAAATCATTACGGCCATATGTATGCGAATTAAAACTTGCATTACTTGACATCTTTTCCATTCACTACTGACCTTTTCCCTCTGAGAAGCAGAGAAGAGGTGACCAGAAAAGGAAACAAAGGCTGTCTTTCAGAGCCCTTTCCTTGAAAGTAGAAGGAAAAAAACCAAACACACAAAATCTTTATGGCAAAAATGGAATAAAAATGCACAAACTAAGGAAGAATGAAATTCCACTGGGTGCTGAGTATTTTAGGGAAAAAAAGATCATTGGACTGGGAAGAAATTCAGTAGTAGAGCATTGGCCTAGCATGTGCAAGGCCAGGTTCAGTCCCAGGCACAACAACAACAATAACAACAAAAAGTTAGAGCCAGTTATGTAGCTATTTCAGTTAACCTTTGCCAGTTCTTCCCAGGAGACAGACAGGACTTTTGGAAATCTAAAGACAAAAGACTGGATTGCAGTCTCATTTTGTCCCTGACTAGCACTAGGGACTAGCACTAGGGTCTTACTTTCTTGAAGGTGTTCATGGTGGATTATTTTTTGTTTACCTAGAGTTTAATAAGTTACTATATTGTCTGAACTTCAGCTGGCTCTTCAAGAAAACACTGGTGAAAAGTACCATTAATATATCAACTAGCCCCTTGCAACAATATTCATTAACTTATAAAGTAAAATTTAGAATCATTTTATCTACAAAGCACTATGCTAAATTCTGTGGAAATATGAGGCTGAATTAAATGGAAGAGTTTTTTAATTCCTCCAAAATAAAACTATAAGGAAGGAAGGGTGAAGAGAGATGTATACCAATTTCTCAGTACCAGGTACATAAAAACAGCTGCAAAATAAGCAAAAAGTAGTGAAACTTTAATATGGTTAACAGCAGTATTAGAAATTTTTCATACACTGCATTCATGTGAAGTGTGAAAGGAAAACAACTCTCATCCCCAAATTATCTGTGAGGACACTAAGCTCTGGAATGTAGAAATCACCCATACAACAACATACACACAGGCCCAGCGGCTCGCCTGTGCGGTAGACAGACCTCCCCAGTTGGAGGAGCCCAGCCTCCCGCCGTTGCGGTAGACAGACCACTCCAACTGGAGGAGGGGCCCTGTCGCCCGCCCGTGCAGTCACCTGACTGAGCTCTTGACAAACATAAGGTTTCCCCAACAACCCCACCTCATCAAACACCTTATGAGAAAAACTGATGGAACTCATCTTGGAAAATCCCACCAACCCTTAAAACCCACCAACCGGTTGGCTGGCGTGGCTACCAGTGCGGTTCTGCAGCTGATCAGGCACCTGGTTTACATCTCAGAGAATAAGAGTAGAGAGGCCACAGGTGGAAGCTCAAGTCCTCTCACACTGACTACCACCACCATCCTGAACCCAGAGACTCAAGCTAGGAATAGACAATGCGACCAACTGGAAGAAATGAAAACAGAGTTCTGAGAGACATTTTTTTTTCTTTTTTTCTTTCTTTTTCTCTCTTCTCTCTCTCTTTTCAGCCATTCACCCAGTCTCCTCTACCCTTCCCGCTCGGGTCTTCGCAACCTCAACATATGTGAAATCAAAAATTGTGCACGAAAAAGGTCTTTAACAACTGAATCACCAGAATAATATACTATAGAGGAATTGCATATGCCCCACTTCCCTTCCCCCTTTTTATTTCTTTTCTTTTTTCTCATAGTTTCTTTTTCCCGCTCTCTTTTTTCTCTTCCTTTCCTTGTTATTTGTTTTCCCCCCTCTTACTCCCTCTATCCCACTTGCAACCCCCTAAATTTTACTATTCATAAGTAGGGTAATCTTATAAATACAGATAGGAATTTGAATCTATACATTCTTCCATAAATTACCCATCTATATTGGTTAGAGCTCTCCAAAGTTACAAAGTTAGATTAACCCCATACCCTCACTCCTTTCCCCATAAACATAACATCTTACACCTGAAATTCAGTTTTCTTTAAGCTACCAGAAAAAGTATGCCTTTCATGAAACTAATGACTATATTTGTAAATGATAATCGAAACCAACATTTGTAGACATAGAGTCTAGATATAAATGTAGTAATAAGGAAAACGTGTGCTTAGATGATATACTATTGATATTGAGAACTGTTAACATTGTCTTTCTTTACAAAAGGGAGATTTTGCAACTATACAAGAGCAATATAAATATATAGGGGGAAAATTCAATAATACAATAGTTTCACCAAGCAGAAAGAAACGCGAGCAGTGTGAAAAGACAAGGAGAGAAAGGACCACAAGCAATGCAGGTCAACTCAACTTCAGAAGAGGTAACAGCTGCAGCAGATGGAATGTCAGATAAAGAATTCAGGATATACATGCTTCAGATGATCTGGAGTCTCAAGGAAGACATTAGACAGCAAAATCAGACAATGAAAGATCACTTCGACAATGAATTACATAAACAAATCCAAGAAGCAAAAGATCAACTATACAGGGAGATAGAGGTTATAAAAAACAAACAAACAGAAATCCTAGAAATGAAGGAAGCAATAAACCAAATTAAAAACTCAAATGAGAGTACTACCAGCAGAGTAGAACACTTAGAAGATAGAACATCAGACAATGAAGACAAAGTATTTCAACTTGAAAAGAACATACACACCTCAGCGAGACTGTTAAGAAACCATGAGCAGAACATCCAAGAAATATGGGATAACATTAAGAGATCAAACTTAAGAGTCATTGGGATACAGGAAGGTACAGAGGTCCAAACCAAAGGAATGAGCAATCTGTTCAACTAAATAATACGAGAAAACGTCCCAGACTTGAAGAATGAGACAGAATCCCAAATCCTGGAAGCCTACAGGACTACGAATGTGCAAAATCATAAGAGATCCACACCTAGACACATATAATGAAGATGCCCAACATACAGAATAAGGAGAGAATTTTAAAAGCTACAAGAGAAAGGAAGCAGATTACATTTAGGGGTAAACCAATCAGGATAACAGCTGATCTTTCAACACAGACTCTGAAAGCTAGAAGATCCTGGAACAACGTATTTCAAACGCTGAAAGAAAATGAGTTCCAACCAAGAGTTGTGTATCCAGCAAAATTAAGCTTCAGGATGGAAGATGAAATTAAAACCATCCACGATAAACAAAAGTTAAAAGAATTTGCAGCTAGAAAACCATCTCTTCAAAACATCCTCGGCAAAACATTACAAGAAGAGGAAATGGAAAATAACAATGAAAACCAACAGTGGGAGGTAGTACAGAAAAGGGAAAAAATAATCAAAGAGGAAAAGCAAACCATGTTAAGTAACAAAAATAAACAAATATGGCTGGAGAACAATCCATATCTCAATAATAACCCTAAATGTTAATGGCTTAAACTCACCAAATAAGAGACACAGGCTAGCAGAATGGATTAAAAAAAAAAAAAGATTCAACAATATGCTGCCTACAGGAGACGCATTTGATAGGAAAAGACATACATAGGCTGAAGGTGAAAGGTTGGGAAAAATCATATCACTCATATGGACTTCGGAAACAAGCAG